GCAGCATGGGGTCATACAGACAGATACGCACTACATAAAGAAATAGGATTCTGAGTTCCTGGGGACAGCACGGGCTGGAGAACAAAGGGACACAGGGTCAATCCCACGCCCTGAGAAAGTACAGTGGGTTTGGAAACTGTGTTTATAACAGTTGAGCTGATGAGCTTTGCCTGTCATCTAGGTTTCTTATTTTCAGTTCAGCCTTATGCTAGGAATCTTCCTGGCCCTAAATTAGCTCAGTGTCATCACCACACTTCCTTGTGAGGAGCAGGCTTGCTCATCCAAGATGCATTTCTAATAATGAAAAAGAAAATTGCTTTTTATTTAGCCATGCTTTCAGAAGATTGTTCAGATAATGATAGTGGCAATCACAAGATAAAAGCCTACAGTGCTGGACATTCTATAATAGTCAATTGCAGTGTTGGTATTTGACAGAAAAAAAATGACTTGCTTCCATCCTAGGAGATATTTACAAACTAGAAATTTGGTAGGTGTTTATTTACTTTAAGTCTATAATGACTTTTTTCTATCTAGTCTTCACAGGGTCATTATCTCTGTGGGAGAGGAAATGACCAGATAGGGTTCTACTCTGCAGAATGACTGTAAATGTTGGTTTGGACTGGACAGCACCTCGTTTGTTATTGAGTCTAATTGCCTACTCTGGAAAGCAACCACATGATATAACTGTGAAAGAAAAAGACGTTCATACCTAATGACTACAGAATGATTCTGTGACAACTTTTTTTTCTTCTTGGCTATGATGGTCTACAGAACCAAATGGGATGGAATAAAATGCATCAGAAATGATGTTGCTAAAATGAACAGCTTTAAATGATTGAGAAAAGGAGCATTTGGTATGAAGGTGCCATCTCTTCATAGGTGCTGGTGATAATGGGTATCTTTATGTTTTGCTAAAACAGAAATTGAAACATCCATACCTCTTTTCATGTGGTGGCTAATAGCAGCCTTTTGATGATCAAGCTATTTCATATGTTCTGTGATGAACGTTGAGGAACTCTGCTATTTTGGAATTTTGTGTGTTTCTTAAATTATAGAACTTGCTTTTAAACAAATTAGTGTATTTTTTTCATATCATACAATCTTGAATTGATGATTCATGGAGTCTTTCCATACTCTTTGATCTGTCAAATTTAGTTTCTGTATATCTGTAACATATTATGTTTTGACAAGCCACCTGGTTTGAATGGAGAAGAGTATTATTGCTGGACTTAGCTCCATCTCTCCTTAGCTCCCTACTCCAGTGTAATTTTTATTAGCTGAAGATCACTCTAGTTGATCTTCAAGTAGGTAGTATTGTAGGCCTACAGGTTGTGGAGCTACGGTTTTATTTAATTTGTGTATGGTTGTGTGGATGCACATTAGATTTTGTTGTACTGCTAACGTTTTACTGTGGTATTGGTATAAAAGCTGTGCTATTTTTCTTTATCCCATTTCTCATCTGCCATAACTTAAAGTTTGTGGTATGTGTATAAATATTTTGAGGAAGGTAATTTATTATATAAAGGACTATTTTCTTGTAAGCCACCCTCTTGTCAGAAGCAGAATTTTGTCTTCCTCTTGCTCTAACTGCCCATACGTTCTTACATGATAAAAATAGACAATCCAATACTACTTCTGAGTGTTCATTCACAAAACAATTTAAAACAAAAAGGAACATAGGATCTTATGTTCTCTAATGTGAACACTTACAAATTGCTAAGTGTAGTTGTCTGCAGTGGCAGACAACTTGATTATGAAATCCTGTTTGTAAATTCCTTAAAGCCCATATAAAAAAATAGTTATACTGTTTTTCCCATTGTTCCTTTTTGGATAGCTGTTCTGAATATCATTCTCTGATGTAATTCCATTTTCCACCATAAATCACTTTTGTAGAGAGATTTTTTTACTCGAATGCATGCTTTACATTTGATAAAAATTGTGACAATCTTTAGACTCTCAGTGTCATTTAGCCTTAAGCTTTTGCAAATAGAAGAAAAATATATGGGGCAATTTCTTATAAAATCTGTTGGTAGTGGCAAATTCTGTAATTCTGATTCTCAAATTTTTGTTCAATGTGTACTAATGGTAAGCAGTCTAATTTTGAGGTGGTATGCAAGCCTGAAAGTACAATTGTTTGTTTTCTTCTAGCTTTCCCACATTTTGTTTCTATGTAATACAATTGTTCCCAAGAGATTCTACATTTTTTTTTTAACATATTGTCTAAGCCTAGAAATTAGCTGTGCATAAAAAATGCAATTCTCTTGGGACTAGAGCACAACCAACAGTGGACTTTATATAGCCTGTCTGGGGCAAATAAAACACAGACTGTTTTTGTAGCGAGAAAAATGCTGTATACAAAAAAACAAAAACAAACAAACAAAAAAACCTACTGATATAGTATATTGTCACAGTTTTAGTATATGTCTCGTCCCTGACATACACAGGGTGAATACATGAGCTAGGACATGAGCATGTCAGCAGCCATGTCTGCCATTTCAGGCAAGAAGTAAGACACCTACATCATCCTTCTTCCACTCTTGATTTTCACTTTGCTACTAAATTCGGAAGATACTTTCAGTGAATAACAGTTTTCCATAAGAGTGTGTTTTGTTTAACATTCCTAGCTTCAGAATGAATTGTTTGACAACCTTTGGCTAAAAACAGGTCTTTTGAAAGAGAGCCCAGGCTCTGTGGGAACACATTTCTGTCTTTCTTGACCGGTAGCTGCAGAGTTAGTTTGCTAACCTGTGGGAGCCCTGAGGTTCTTTTGTCTGGAAGGGTTTGTGCCTGTATTGCCTCTGTCAGGAAAGTACCTGACCATAGGTTATTCAGGATAGCCAGTGCCCTGTCTGCTGTTCTATTTTTTTTTTTTTTGTTAGTTAATACATGAACATTTACTGGAATCTGGAGTCTGACTGAAAGCTGGTTGAATGCTGTTACAGTTGTAGTACGGTATTGATTTTACATTACTGCCTTTCTGTCTGGATTTATAATTTTATAAACAGTCTATAAAAATCAAGACAATTACAAGAGGGAAGACTGGTAAATGAGAGGAGTCTTTTCTTGCTTTCCTTCCTTTCAGTTTCATTCTTTTTCTTTCTTCCAGTTTCTTTCCATTCTATTTCCCATCTTCTTCCCGTTTGTATTTTCTTCTTTCTTGTTCATTCTGTCCCCAGATTCCCTCCTTGCATTACAATATTCTTCGTTTTCTGACATCCCATTAATCTTCCAGTCTTTATGGCTTACTTTGCCACCTCCACAAGCACACCCACAGGATGCTTAGAAATTTTACAGCATACCCAGTTGTCAAAAAACTAAACCTACAAGTCCCGGGCCTATAATACTCAGTTGGGAATGCTCATTAACACCCACACTGTTTGGAAAAAGAAACTGGTACAGTTACTGTAAGGTCTGCAAACCATATTGCATGCCTAATATTGCACTGCTTTCCCCTAAACCTGGAAACTCCTCATTGGGATTGGGCAAGGAAGTGGGATCTGTTTTTGTGCTTTAATTGTAGTTCTGAGCTTTGTAGTTATACAGAAACCCTAGAAAGTCATGAACATGGATTAAGCCTGTGAAACATTAGTTTTGGGGGAGATGCGCTGTTCACTGATGTGTTAGGAGAGTTGTTGCAGTAGGGGGATGTACCTGCAAGCGGATCCTCAATCTAACAGCTGTCTCATAGCTTTACTGGTGTGGTGTCGGTACAAGTTCCTTACATTTGAAAGGCAGATGAGCACACTCTTTCTTTCATTCAACAGTGTCTAGCTGAAGAAAACTCTCACCTGGGGAAGATGAAGCAAAATTGTGTGGGTCTTGCAGTCCCTTCTAATGTCAGTGGCTGCTACTGCAGCAGCCATGAGCAAGGAGAGTGTGATGGCGTAAGTCCTCACTCCTAGAGGAAGTCAAAATGGGGTTTCTGGTGGGATGCTCCTGTGGTCTCCTATACTTCTGTCCAGTCTGGGGGTGAAGATTTCTGCCAGACCAGGTTCTTTCCTGCTAGCAGAATTCACTAAGAAAAAATGAGGAAAGGCTGCATCTGTAATGTGTGAATGATCAACTGATCACCCCCCTCCACTAACTGCCCATGAAAGCTGAATAAAAAAGCAGTATTCAGCGTCTGGATGACAGTGCTTTGTTTCCAAAGGCAATAATTTGAGGCTTTTCTCTTTCTGAATAGCACCCATGCCAGTGTTTAGTGCTGCTCAGTGGTATTATCATGAGATTTAATCATAATCAAAGGTCCGTTAAACAATGGACCTGAAAAGTTTTTGAATGGCTTTCACTCTCCTGTATTTTGGAAAAGCTCCCAGTACAAAGATACTTAGTTTTTTTTTTGTTTGTTTGTTTGTTTGTTTTTAAGGCTTTGGAAATGATCACTGTGTTGCTTTGCACTCTTAATTCTGCTGTGAGGAAGATGAAGTGATTGTCAGCACTAGAAATAGAAATGTAGAAATATTAGCTTAAATTCTTCATCAGTCAGTGGTAGGGACTTGACCTGCTTGCCCTTGGTTAGTATTTCTTTTAAAATCATATCAGATTTAATCAGCAGTTTGGCACTTAAATGACAGTGCCATAACAGATACCATATGTTAAAACAATATTACTAGCTACACTATAGCTGAATATAGCTGTACTGTAACTAATCTAGGAATTATTGGATCAATTCTTGGATCAGAACCTACGAATTATTGGGGTAACCCACCCTGAAATATATTGCCAGCTGTGCTTCCCATCCGTTTTTCCATTCTTCTTGTTTAGAAGGTACTGCCAAAAAAAACTAAGCTAAGCATTGCTAAGCAGTCAAAGGAAATCAGCCCTCTCCTTTCCCCTCTGATCTCTGTCATGCATACCATTTATTTCACATTAAGTGAAATGAATCAGCAGGCTGAACTTTAAGATGAACTTGTCCTGTAAAATGATGCCTTCATCATGGAAAAATAAATCTATAACACAGTTAAAGGTAATTGTCATTTTTGAAAATCTTCTTTCTCTAGAGTCCTACTCAAGTGGGAACTGCTCTTCAGGTTTTCTATAACCTTGGAACTTTGAAGGATACCATTGCTAACGTGGTGGATGGATACTGCACGGCCCTGGAGGAGAACATCAAAAATGCTTTGGATATCAAAGTATTGACCCAGCCGTCTCAAACTGTTGCAAGAGGTATGATACTTGTTTCACAGAGATCCCTACCTGATCTTTTTTGACAGAAATACTGTATGTTGTCAAAAGAAACTCACATCCAAGCCTGTTAAATGTTTCCCTGCTTGCTTTAAATGGTAGATGATGGCAGTACTCATCTAATACAAAACTAAAATGTTTGTTGTTATTGTGCTCAGAGGTTTTTCTATGATTTTTCCCCTCTCTTTTCCCCCGCTTTCCCAGGAAATTGCCTTCATTAGTTTACAGCTTGGCAGTGTTTTCTTAGGAGTTTGTCATGGAAAGCTGAATCCAAATTTTTCTTTCTTTGTGTCGGTGGAAAGATCATAGATGGCAGGGATGTCACCCACTGCATCAAGTTACCTCATCCAGGGCCAAGAAGGACATGGACATATTAGAACAAGTCCAGAGGAGGCCCACAAGGATGATCAAGGGGCTGAAGCACCTCTCCTGTGAAGATAGGCTGGGGGAGGTGGGGTTGTTCAGCCTGGAGTCTTCTTTAGGCCTTACAGCGGCCTTCCAGTGCCTAAAGGGGGCCTACAGGAAAGCTGGTGAGGGACTCCTTGTCAGGGGGTGTAGTGACAGGACAAAGGGGAATGGTTTTAAAGGAAAAGGGTAGATTTAGATTAGATATAAGGAAGAAATTATTTACTCTGAGAATTTAGTTATACTTTGCCTAATGCAGCCAAGCCTACTCTCAGCCTTCTTAGTGGCAAGGGCACATTGCTGGCTTATGTTCAACTTGGTGGCCACCAGGACCCCCAAATCCTTTTCTGTCAACCTGCTTCCCAGCTGGGTGTCACCCAACATGTACCGGTGTGTGGGGTTTTTCCTCCCCAGGTGCAGGACTCTGTTCTTTTCCTTGTTGAACTTCACAGGATTCATGCCAGCTCACCTCTTCAGCCTGTCAGGGTCCCTCTGGATGGCAGCATGGCCCTGTGGTGAATCAGACGCTCCTCCCAGTTTTGTGTCATCCACAAATTTACAGAGGGTGCACTCTAACCCATTGTCCAGATTGATAAAGAAGATGCTAAACAGGGCTGGACACAGTATTTACCCCTGGGGTACTCTGCTCATTACTGGCCTCCAACTAGACTTTACACCACCTATTACCACCCCCTGGGGCCGTCCATTCAGGCAGTTTTCAGTCCACCTCACTTGTGTGCTCATATAGCCCATACTTCAACAGCTTGTCTGTGAGGATCTCATGGGGGACAGTGTAAAAAGTGTCAAAAGTCTTACTGAAGTCCAGGTAGATAATTTCCCTCTCATCCATCAAGTTTGTGATTTCATTATAGAAGCTTATCAGGGTAGTCAAGCATGACTTCTCCGTGGTGAATCCGTGTTGACTACTACTCCTGATTATATTCTCTTTCATGTGCCTGGAAATGGTCACCAGAATTGGCAGTAATGAAAATTTAACACTAAAAAAAACCAACATGCACACATAAAAACGCTTGCAATGAGTTTGAGATCTGAAAATATACATGTAGATGTGGAATATAGTATAGAAAGTATAGAGGTTGCATACCCTTCAGCTGGAATATCACTTATTTTAGTTCACCTGTACGCTTACGTCCTGAGCTGAGCTGGTAATATCCTGCTTTTATATGCTGCAATATGCTCATTGGCACAACCATGGTGTTTCTGTGGAGGCTGCTCTGATTTTTTTAAAGTAAATTTCTTATGTCAGTGTATGCATAAAGATCTCTATTTGTAATATTTTAATTTTCACGTGTGAAATCTGAAATGTGCTGTTGTGTGTTTTTAAAAACACATATAGGTGGCCCTGGTAGAGCTGCTATGCCAACACCTGGGAATACAGCAGCTTTTCGAGCTGCTCTCTGGACAAACATGGAGAAACTCATGGATCAGATCTGTGCTGCTTGTGGACAGGTACTCAACAGCTAATTAATGCTTGTCTGGTGAGGCAATTTTGCATGTAAGTTAAAAGAAGGTGTCACTTTTCCACTAAATAATTTATTTTCTTACAGGTGCAGCACTTGCAGAAACTATTGACAAAGAAGAGAGATCCTATTTCACATGTCTGTTTCATTGAGGAAATAGTTAAGGTAAAGTTTTAATTTAGATCAATACAGTTTAGTAATTCTGTTTAGGAAATTGCCATGAGGGAAAGCTTTTGTTTAAAATTTTAGAGTTCCATAACAATTTGTAATTATATTAATGGGAAAGTGGTAAAAGTCACATTAACACTGAAAGCTGTATTTATGGTCTGTGGGTTATATCTGTAGGATATAAACATGTTCTTTTTATAATAATTTCTTTTGTTTTCTAAAGGGAGCCAATAAGACACTACTGTCAGTTTTTATTACTGATCATTAATGTCATTCCATAAAATACCATGTGATTTGAGCAATTAATTAAGTCTGTTAGTTAGCATAGGAAAATGTGTCTTCATCTAACACTTTCAGCCATCTGTTTCCCAACTTCTTGGCAATTTTTTCCTTGAAAAATAATCATGGCTGTTCTTTTGAATACCTATTCTTCCCCATTCAATTGCATTGTTTTCTATTCATATTTGGAATAATTTGATTAATGATCTCCTTTAGTGTTAGGAACAGTGTTACTGAAGCTTTCTCGTCTACCAAGGTAGATGAGAAGATACAAAAACAAAAGATGTATTTACGCAGACATCTCCTTTTCCATGTATATGGATGGATTTTTAATTTACATGATTTTAATTTTTGAAATACATTGGGGAAACTGTTCATATGCAAATGTGGTCTTCTCAACAGTAAAAGCAAATAATGAAGGTTGAACACAGCATGTAAGTTTATCTGTCAGTTAAGCTGAGCTCCAAAAGATGTTGCATAGAACATTATTTTTCTGTGAGGTACTTTAAACATCTTCCTGTATCATAAGGAAACAAAACAACAACAACAAAACACAACTCCAGAAAGCTTATAAAGTTCTAGCGTATTTTCTACATTAAAAAGTTTGATTTGGCAAAAGTATCTATTATTGCCTGGGTGGATCCCTCCAGTAGATCAGCACTTTAAAGGAGAAACCTGGAGAAAGAAGGAGGAACTCTGGAAGGTTTGGGAAGAGTTTGGATGGAAAGGGAGCTGAGATAAATGAACTTGTAGCGTTGATGGGTAGCTCCTATCCTGAGCCTGTGCTTCTCAATTTCACTCTTCCCATTGGTAGAATGGCTTTTGAAAATGGGAATTTTTTTTCTGGTTGTTGAAGATGGTAATGAAGGGAAGCCAAAGGAAACCTTTTATCATTATGGAGAAACAACGTACAGGTAAAAAAGATCTCAGTAGAAGCTAGATGTAGAGTAGATGCAGAATAAGGAAAAAAAAAAGGTTTTGGGGTTTTCATATGCTAAGCATCTTTCATGTTACCTTTTATAAATCTTCCTTCCCGTTGACTTCATACCACAGGATTACTTACTTCTAAGAGATAAATTGTTTTTTCTAGATAAAACCCATCTATTTGTTTCTCCACACTTATCCCACTTCCAATTAGTTGGCTCTTCAGCAGGACTTTTGGCAGAGCATAACACCAAGCTGGACAGTTGTCATTCTCAGTGAGGCATCTAAGGAGCAGTGGTGCTTCCTTGTCTAGTTCTACCAGAACTCTCTTAGCACGAGACAGTACTGCTGCTAGCACTGACACTTTGCCTTCTTCTTACCTAGGTGGTTCATTGTAACACAGTGTTTTTCTTGGCCATTCTCGCAGTTGTACCATTTTTCATAGTGTCCCCTGAAAAGGAGGACACTCTGAAAGCCTACAGATGGAGAAGTGACACCATGCAGTACCAGCTGTTCTTTAGACAAAATCAGACAAGTACTAGATGCTGCTGAAATTCAAGAAAGCATGTACAGATGGCTGTATGGGAGAGCAAGAATTGTTGTGTACATTGAAAATAGATATAAGTAAGAAATTGGTAATTTGCCATTTACTAATGAAGATTCCATCTATTATTAGAACAAACTGAAACAACATGCTTTCCCTACCAGCTGTTCTGGACAGGCAGAAAAGTTGGATTTTCTTTATCATTTTGGATTTCATTAATAAACTGAGCAAATGAACAAAACAAACTAAAGGTACTGACATTGTATACATTCACTAGGGCAGCATGCCCACACCAGGAGAGAGGAAAACGAATCATCCACTCTACAGTCTGTGCACTAATTACTGTTACTGATGTCAACATTATTATTATAGTCATCTTCTGCAGCAGCTGCAGTACCACTTTGCCTGTCCATCTGCTTCCTTGTTTTGATTATTGCAGTGCAAGTATCATCCTAGGAAGCAGAAGAGGAGACCCAGCTTTTTTAAAGCACAAGTCCTTTAATAGCAAGGAAGCAACTTTTTTTTTTTTTTTTTAATAATTCTCTTTTTTCCATTGGGAATTTTTTTCTGTCCTTCCCTTCACAGATAGCATAGCCTGCATTTTCTCTGTTATGATCTCAAACATGTGCTTTCTGGCCTTCTAATTACCTGTTACCATAATGATATTTAGTAGTGTTGTAGCATGTTGTATCCAAAAATTAGTTTTAAACACTAATTAATTAAAGGATTCACAAAATCTATTTAAAATAAATGAGCAACAACTACTACAACAGAAAACACTAAAAACCAACCAAACAAAAACACACACACACAAAAAAAACAACACAAAACCACTGAAATTCAAAAATCTGACAGATGGAGAAACTGAGGCATAGAACTTCATAAATTTATAAATACTGAGGTTCAGCAGCAGGGCAATGACAACACCCACAGCTTTTCTACACTGTGGTTTCTCTCATTAGTAACAGAATTCACTTCCAAATTTTTTCACCATTAAATACAGACAAGATTTAAATGACATACCATGATAATCATGTAAGCCTTCCCTTTGCACATCTGGATTTTCATATTTGTCCTCTGCCACAATATTAAATGTATGTGAAGGAATTCACGTCCCTTTTGAGAAGAAGTCATGCACTCAGTGTACATTGTTACATTTCATACTTGTAATGAAATATAGATTTGTTACCAATCTGTAAGTATACAAATTACAATTTTAATTCCTCCAAAAGATCTAGACATATTTAAATGAGAAATACTCTTGTTTTAAGACTGAATGGACATTTTTAGTGGCAACTTTTCGTGTCAGGGAGTGTAGTGATAGGACAAGGAGTAATAGTTTTAAACTAAAGAGGGCAGATTTAGATTAGATATCTGGAAGAAATTCTTTACTCTGAGGGTGGTGAGGCCCTGGCACAGGCTGCCCAGAGAAGCTGTGGATGCCCCATCCCTGGAGGTGCTCAAGGCCAGGCTGGATGGGGCTTTGGGCAGCCTGGGCTGGTGGGAGGTGTCCCTGCCCATGGCAGGAGGTTGGAGTGAGATGATCTTTAAGGTTCCTTCCAACCCAAACCATTCTGTGATTAATGACTAGATTTAAGTTCATGAGTGAAGCTAAGAAAATTAAGAATTCATAAATTATAATTTATGGTTTTGTGGGAAAACAAATACAGGTTTAATTATGCATTTTTTTAAAGGTGGGATAATTTTTTCATTATCTTGAGGGAAACATTAGAATTACAAACATGACTTAAATAATATGAAATTGATATTTTTATTCACCTAGTGACTGGCTACTTACATCACTTCTTTCAATTGCTTAATTCACCTTCAAAGAGCTAATAGGTTACTCCAGTTTACTCTGCTTTATTTCGCTCTTGCGATGTGTAGTGACTAATCCTGTTTCAGCTATTTTAATATCTAAACCACAATTGACTTCAGCGTAAGTCACAGCAGAGCACATCATTCTGTGACAGCCAGTTTCCTAATTAGAGATAAGAATCCCTCTAAGCCCCTTGTAGAAGTGTTGAAAATGATCTCTGATCCTTATCTATTTTGGGTCCTTCACTCCTACATAGGCATCAGTGAACAGTTCTTCAAAGTGAGAAACAACCTTAAATGCAGCAAATGATTATTTGGGGGCGGCCGGGGGTGGTTGGGTTGGTCAATAGAAAGGGTGAGCTGGGTTCTGTGCTCCCAAGGGAAGGGAGGCAGGGAAGAAGTCATGTCTGCGAGAGGGCAGAGCTGCCTTTGATCTCCTTTGGTCTGCTGATGTCCGCATTTGTTAACAGCTTGGAAGCCTGCAAAATCTGTCATTTACGTAAGCCTCTGGGTACAAGAGTGAGCTGAGAGTTATAGGGAGTGTTATTATGTACTTTGTGGAGGGCTCTTATCATTGCCTCTCCTGATGAACGTTTGGTGAGTAAGCAGGCTATTTTCTTGAGTTGTCAACGCTGGCAGTGTGAGGTGTTAACGATACAGAAGGGAATGTCCTCATGATTACATAAGATAAAGAAAATAAATTGAAAATATAAATGTTTATTTCCCAAAGTGTACTTAACATTTCACCTTCTTACATCTCCTCCCCTGTCAAACTTGTTAAAAATGTTGCTGCTTTGAAGTTATTCACATCTAACATCATATATTCACATTCAGTTGACCCAATTAAAAATAATCCCAAGTGGAAAAAATGCAAAATAATCTAATTACTGCCTTACATGAATTCATGAAATAATCTTTCCCCTATTATTGAAAGTATTGATCTTTTGTAGAAGCAGATTTGGATTATTTGTTCACTGTTTCTACTGGAGTTTCTGTTTAATATTTAAGCATTAGATCTCCATGAAGTGTGTAGTTAAACACAGGTGAATGAGCAGGTTTGCTATCCCCAACATAGTGAAGATGCTCTTAATTTCAAACCCACAAATTGTTAGGCTGAATTCTGTTGCAAGATTTCCCTAAAATAATAATAATAAAAAAATCTAATTTAAGAGTCTTGATTCTAGTTTTAGATGATCTACATGTCCACAGCTAGCCGTGTTAAAAGTAATTCAGAGCCGGTGTATTGGTTTTCTAGTGCATCTTCTCTAGGACTTTAATCCTGTTTCTCTGCCAGAAATGTGCAGCTATAAAAAGAAGGGATGATGTTGAGGTTGCTTGGCTTGGTAGGTGAGAGTGACCTTTGTTGGTTTTCACTACTTTTGTGTTGGGGTCTGTGCAGATCTCAGTTCGGTGATGACTGAAAATTATTAAG